ACAGAAAATTACTTTTTTTTCTGTTTGAATTCCTTATTTGCCCTTTTAACAAAATATGTAAAAAGAAAAAACAGAAATACATTTTTGATATTAATAATTTTTTACTATGCGATAAGATAATTTTTTGTGTAGTCTTCTGCCCTCTGTTATCAGGTATATCTGATTGTGTACAATAGGATTTTGAGCAAAGTTTTTACCATTAAATTATGCAAAAGGTGTCAGAAGCAAAACATTTCAGAAACCGTGTGTATCAAATATGATACATATGGCATTATAGGGTTAAAAGTTGCAGCCTTGATTAACAGTTAAATTTTTTTATTTGGTTTAAGCATTGCAATGTTCTGCAAAAAGCTGGAATTGAGTCACTTTCCTGCTGCTAAAATCTTCCACTCTGAAGAGTGTTGCTGTTGTGGAATCTGGCTTTGGTTATGGTACATTCAATGTCAGGAAAACAAGCAGATTTTCCAGTTGTGAGGTCATGGTTCAGTTTAGTCAAACTAAAAAATCTTGCTTCCTGATCTGACCCAAATAAACCAGCAGCAAACTAAACACACACACGTGCTGTGCAGCATTGATACCATTGCTTCACATAACTTATTGTTGTTGTTTGTTTTAATTTTGATGAGGACATACTCCAAGCTACTCCAAACATGGATAAATATAAGACGGTGTTTGTGTTGTTATTTGTAAAAAAAAAGTTTGCCATTTTTACTTTGAGTTTTTTCTTCATATATCAACATTTATATCACTGTTTGTGTGTCCAAAAATGAGAACTAGAGCAGTTGTCTAAAGAAAATACACCACTGCTGCTCCAATTTGAAGCGTCACGTTGTGTTGAAAGTCATCTGCTCATCTTAATCCTATTTGATAAATACGTATTACCTGGAAAGATCAGCTTCAAGGACACAAAGTCTTCACACAGAGGTCAGATGGTGACTGATAGAAGCAGTCTATGTTTGGATTAAGTTTCTTTACTAAGGTTATGTGTCTGTGTGTCTGTTGATACGTGTGCACTCCAAAGGAGCCAGTAGACTCTCTAGAGGCTACACTAAGTGGTGGAGTGTCCCCAGGGGTCCTACTTCCTCTGAAATATTGACTCAGCACTACAGGAAGAGGTCACACACCAACACTGACACAAAGCCTTTTCCATTACAAGATGTCTCTGTTTTTGTTGTTGGACTGATCTTTTGCTTCTTTTTCCTCTGAGCAATAAACGATGAGCTAATAAACGCTCTCTGGGGGCTTTGTTTTCATGGGACTGTTGACAAATTCTTTCCATCATTCCATGTGATGTCAGGCAAGGATCTGTGGTGTAGATAAGCTTTAAATAAGGGGATATAAAGAAGGAAGTTGTTTTGTTATGTGGGATGTTTGCATTGACTATATAGTTGATTTGTCCATTTTTTTTTATATATCATTTTCTTAGCTTTATCTTTTCAATGGCTAACATAGCCAGGGGAATTCTATCAAAATTATATTTTTCATAGATTTTTATAATCTGCTTTTGTTACTAGAGATGCAGCAAAACCTTGTAGCCGAATTCTACGGCTTTGTGAAGGTTCAAACTACGGAGAGTCTTTAAGAACAACAGGGAATGTATTTGATTGATTGACTTTATTGATCTCAATGTGGAGATATTTACTCGTTACACCAGCCCAAACAGTCAAAGAAGAAGGTGCCAAAGGAAGAAAAAGGTGCATGGGATATATACAGTGCGTCCACAAGGGTTGTTCAAAAAAATAAATATGATGATATATTATTATTTGGTCATTGGTTACATAAAACGTTCAGTCTCTTTCTGTAACGCTCTCGCTGCCAGTAAGAACAGTTTTGGAGATTTTGCTTTGTTAGATCAGCTGTCTTCGTGTATTCTCCAAAGGAATTAGTCATTTACCCAGACTTTGAGCTTTGTAAAAGCCCCTCGGTAGTTTTCAATTCTTTATGCTTGAATGAAGGACAGAGTTTGAACGCCTCAGCGGAGAAAACTAAGCAGCTTTGCTGTAATAGGTTAAATCTCCCTGTTATCTGCTCGAAGTCTGACTCTCTTAGCTGGCTAAATAGAAAAAGTACATGTTTATCTTTTTTTTACAGTCTTTATTTTTATTCCAGGACCTCATTTTTGAAATAAATGATCAGTAAGGCTAAAGATACATGCCTCATATTCTTTTCCGTCTGTAAGCTACTTCCACATTAAAAAAGTGTTGTTGTCAGTATAACCAGGCAGCTCTTGGGTAAATTGCTTTTACTGATTAGGAAAACTTGGAACTTTAGAAGTTATGAATAAATTTTTAATCAATTCAGTTTATTTATATAGCGCCAATTCACAACACATCACCTCAATCTCTACTTTCAAATGCAGATTATACCCCCATGCCCAAAAAACCTCAGAATTATTAGCTATTCATTATGAAACTGTTTCAGAGTCTCAAAGGATTTATACAAATTTTAATCAAAATTTATAATGTTCTTTTGAATTAATTTATTTAAAATTCATAATTGTTAACTATAAGATTTTAAATTAAATTGGCATTTAAATTGTGATGTAACTGTTATCCATTCCTTAATTTTATTTCAATATTAACTTACATTTAGTTAAAATCCTGAGGCTGAAGAACAAAGAAACTATATGCTATTAAATTTACTCTTATCTTTTATATTTGTGTTAAAAATATCCTAACTGAGGCTAGTAAAGTAAAGCATCAATAGAAATTCTTGATATGAAAATTCATATAAACTTATAATGTAGGAATAAATCTGAAAACAAAGGAAACACTGAACAGATTTAGAGAACATTATTGTTTTAATCATCTAATATTATCCTGGAATCTCCAATGAATTATTTGGGGGTTTTAACCTTCTATCTCTTATCTGTTGCACACTTCAAATTAATCTTTATAAGGATATTTATATTCTGTTTGAATATTCTTTATGTACTGAGAACAATATAGGATATTCTGTAGACTTTTAAACTGTTGATGAAGAAGTAGGAGATCTATATATAATTTCTAGATTTGAAATGATGAGATGTCACCAATCAGAGATGGACCTTCATGATGGAGTCATCACCTCTTAATCAGATGACAAAAGAGAAACCTGCCTTCTAGGTTTCTCTGGAGCTTTCTAGGCGGAACATCCAAAACATGATCCTCAACATGTCATGCCGGCATAGAGCAAAGCGAGACCGTAACGCCGTCCTGGAGGGGAACAGATTCCTCAAAGTCCCTGTAGTCTATTTATGTATGAAACCAGCCGGACTCAAGGCTGAGAATGTTTGGAGTGTGATTGTGTGAAGCTGCAGCGCGCGCGCGCTTTGTCAGGACGTGCAGGCCGTCATCAAGGACGCACAACAAAAACACTTTGAGCCTTTGGTCTTCATCTAATTGCTGGTCATAGGAGCTCTTTCTAAATCCCCCTGATCTGCTGCTTTTATTTTGGAAACAATGACAGGTGTTTGACCTCTGTGATTTGAGCCTCTACCACCTTATTATGCTTCTTTATTAAGACTTCCGATAGGAAGGATTTCTAAAAAAAAAAAAATGTTTCTCATAACCCCTTCTGTCATTTAGGAAGGTATTTTAAGCCAGTTATAAATTCAGGGTAATAAGTGTCCAGAGAACAGCCCACTTAATATCCTCCGTCATAAATTATTCAGAACTTTACCGGGACGGCCCTGGCACCGCAGCCAGCTACCATCTGCTCTTTCAAAGCGTCTGTGTGTCAGTATGGCGTTGTACAGTAACTCGTCTGGCCAAAGTTCAGACCCAGTCCCGACTGTAACAACCAGTACACATTAACAGGCTATTTGTGGTGCGAGCAGGGTGTGAGCCCTTGAGTTCGTGTTACAACAAGAAGAGAGGTTATCAGCTATCACTTATCAGTCCTGATAGGATAATCGCGAGACTCTGACAGTTTTGTGGCAGCAAACAGACCTGGATCACATCGGAGAGTTTCTCAATGAATGTTTCTGAATTTTTATATTTTTTAAATAACCACTAGAGTGAATTCACAGCTAAAAGGTGGTAAAACAGATGGTTATTTATATTTTATCTGAACACCTTTATGAGGATCAGTGCGTTATGATATTTTACTATATAAATTGTCCATTTGTCGTATTTTTGCATTTCATTTAACAATTGGAGCTCTATTTACACAGCAGGTGCCACATAATGTTCTGATCCATAAAACCAGCCCCCAAAACACCAAACACAGGTTTTTAGGCTAAATCCGGTTGGTCCGTCACAGTCTTCAATCCAGAAATAGATATTTTTTTAAGAATGTTTTGTTTGTTTTGCCAAAAAACTGAAAATTACCGCCTTTCACGTTTCAACCAAATGTAGATGTTGTTTGGACGTAAATCATGTCGTCTTTTCAACCAATTTTCGCTCCGTGGGAAAGCTCATTGTATAATTTATCTACATTGTCAGACTGTGTGATGCCTTCCCAGAAAAGTACAATCAAAGTAGTTTTCATTTTAGCTAAACGGTTTCAGTAATTAATACTATATACTATACTATATAAATTGAAATTTAAACTCAAGTTTCCAGGATATGATCTGCTTTAAAAATAGACTGAAATAACTGATAGAACATTTTCTGATCTTGATTTTGAAGACTTTATGGATCACATTAACACTTGTTGATGTGCAGATAGAAAGTATTTGAATTAGTGGCGTCACAAACACTGCCTGGATTGTTTCTCATTAAATTTTTATATATATATTTATATTTTTAATTGACTTCTTTGGTTCTCTATAAAATACGGAAGTTGATATAAGTCCCATTGTTACTCTACATGTTATTAATATAAAATCATTCCCATCCTTTAGCTCCTCTGTTTTATGATACTCAAGAGTGACAGAAAATAAAATAACATATTTAAAGTTATTATGATTAAATCTGATTGATTTATACTTGGATAAAAACATATTGCTCATCTGGTTTGTAAACACATTTTCGTTGATGTTTGAGATTCTTACTGATAAACCTGTCTGTCTTCTTCAGGGAAGTCCCATCTGGCCATTGTCCAGAAGGTGAACAATGAGGGGGAGGGAGATCCTTTCTACGAAGTGTTGGGGTTGGTCACGCTTGAAGATGTGATCGAGGAAATCATTAAATCAGAGATTCTGGACGAATCAGACCAGTACAGTAAGTGCTTGTTTTTTTTAACATGACTTAACATGGCTGCAGCTTATTCATTCATGTTTGCTTTGTGGAATATTAACCTGAATGTACGACCCATGTAATGATCTGTAAGCTTTTAGTAAATATGGCATATTATATTGATTTTTATAGTTATTCTGAATGGTGTCTTTTTCTCTTTTTCACTTCTAAGCTGACAATCGCACCAGGAATAGAGTGGCGCCCAATAAAAACAAGAGAGACTTTTCTGCCTTTAAACACGAGAGCGAATCCAAGGTGAAGATCTCTCCTCAGCTTCTGCTGGCTGCTCATCGCTTCCTGGCCACAGGTGAGGAAACTTTCCTCAAACTGACAGTTGTAGCTGCATTTGTCGATGTGTTAGCTCCACATAAATAAATATTGCTGTTATTACGGTATCATATTCCCAGAGGAAATCTGAGAAAAATCCAACATTTAATTTAATTTCAATTATTAAGTAGGGGAAAGTTAGCCTGACGTAGTCCTACTCACTAAAGCCACAGATGCACCTCTATCAGTTTATACAAAAGTTTATTTACAGTTTTGTTTGTCTCGGGTATTAATATAATTTATTTAAACCACTCTGAAATAGGAAATAGGAAAGTCAAGGAAAAATTCTGAGCCAAATGCTTTGTACCAGAAAATGGACCAGAGAAAGTAGAGACTACTAGATCAAATCTACAGTCAGAGCAATGATTAAAAAGCTGTAAACAACTGGAAATCTGACACAGTACGCTGGAGAAGGACTGAGGTTTGTTTTTCTGTCAGACACAATGGTAAGGGAAATTAAGAAGCACTCGTATAAGCAGAAAGCCTCCACTGGTCGCCACTACGGACCAACGGTTTGTTGGGAAGCTAAAAACAGCCTTTCCTGTCCTACCATCACAAACATAAATGATTTACTAAACACCAATGGGACTATAAGAAGAGCTACAGTGATGGGGTCAAATTTAGATTAAGCTTTTAATGACCACTAACTACCAATGTGTATGGTGAAGGATCTGTGATGTTGTGGGGAACCGTGTGTGAGCATGTAGCTGTTTTAGCCTCTTTATCCTATTGGGAAAACTGGAATACAAACTGGGAGGCTTCTTTTTGAGAACAGAAAAAGGCTGATTATTTGATATTAAAAATTATTAGTATTGATTCAAACGATCATTGAAATAACAGAGGAAGGATTTCCCAGACGCTAAATCAGCCTTCCTCTTTCTCTTAGTCTCTGTTTTTACATCTTGTACAAATGTTGTATGGTGAGTGGAATAGAAGCTGACATGAGTAGGGGAGAAGACAAAGATCTTGTTGCTTTATGCTCTAGCCTTATAAAATATAAAAAAAGCTAAAGTCTTCTTGGCTAAACCAGGTTTTAAAAACTATGAACAACATTATCTATTTTGTTTCAATAAAAAGCTAATGATCAGTTAATGTAGGATTATTTTCCAACTGAGCACCAAATCTGCTACTTAGTTTATTCTCAAGCCAAAGAAGTCTTTCAACAGCCTAATCGTCATTAATTGCTACACCCCTTCCCCATATTCTTCCTGTCATCAGAGAGCAGTGATACCTCCCCCAGACACATGAAGGACATCTGAAGACATTTACACCTAAAGGAAAATGTTATTTGCTTGTTCCAACCAGCAGACCATGAACTCTGCTCTGCTTCGAGAGGCCATCCCAGATCACTTGAGAACATGTTTTGCAGCCTGTCAGGTTAGCGTGCGTGTTAGCTGATATGCTCTGCCACAAACTGCTAACGGCTCATGGCCTGACGCAGCACTTCTGTGCACAGGATGTCTTCCTGTTTTGGCAAAACCCTGGTCTCACCTGAGTTTATTGCAGTTTTCCCTCAAGATGATTGTTTCATTAAGAGGGAAATTAATTTTTCTAATATTTTATTCAAATGATTTAATAGCCTTTCTTTTAATCTTCATTTCCTCTCTGAGCTTTTTTTCACAGTAATAATCTCCACTTCGGCTGAAACAAATAATCAGATTAATTCCGATTCATTGATTATTGAAATAATTGTCAACCTATTTAGTAATAAATTACTCATTAACTGGAGTATAGAGACTCAAAAAGCAACCCACTTAGTAATTACTCCAAAATTGTAAAAGATATATAAACAGTTTGCATTTAAGCTAAGGAAAAAAAAAAAAAACTTTCCTCTGCCAGTATGCTCTATCCAGAACTCCTGAAGTGGAAAAGTTTTAGTTTCACCTGGTTTAGTTTAATAAAAGTTTTCTTTAAGAAACTATCTGATTATCAATTGAAAAAAGAATTGACAGATTAATCGATTTGCAAAATAATCATTAGTTGCAGCCCTTATCTCCACCAGCTTCCTTTACTTATGTCGGATTTTCAGAACTGCTATGGTTCAATACAGATTATAGATATTAGATCAAATGAGATGAAGGTCAAACAAATTAGGGAAGTCTAATATATAACTAGAATGTTTTGTTTGCAGTGATATGTTTTTTGTTAGAAGCACACAGTGGGTGTGGCCTGAGTTAATACGTTAACTAGAATGAGGAGAGTTTGTTTGAATAACTACCTTCAGCCATACTTTACTCTGCATATATCACAGGGCTTTGTTTCTTTGTTCCTAGCTTGGGCGGAGGCCCGGCTGAGCACGGATTGCAAAAGACTGACCGGGTTGGGAAATCGGTGTGGATGAAAAACATTTCTAAAATTCCTGCTAACAGGGGTACTGCAGATAACATGAAAGGCCAACAAATATGCGTTTAAAGGAAGCTAGATGGGAAAGCAGTTTGGCTTTGGAAATATTCTGAGAACATTGTTGTTGTTTTTTGTTTCTTTCTCTTGGAATGAACCAGTGGCATAAGCGCTCATAAAAACGTTAAATATCAGAATATTTATTTCAGAATTTTATGAAGAATTTCCACCATGGCTAAATAATATGTAGAAAATATAATAACACTAATAACACAAATAATTACTGGGCTGACACTTCCCACTCACCAAATATGCACTTAATGAAAAACAAGGAAAACACAACATGAATTTAGAGAGACCAAAATTAGTTCTGTGCCTTAGTAACTGTGCCTTAAAACCTTTAAGACTACTTTAAAACAAAAAGCCATCTTCTCATGTTGTGACTTTGAAAATGAAATCTGAGAGCTGTTTCTGCAAGCCTTAAAGTAAGATGTGTTACATTGTGCCCTAGATTTTGTAAAATCATAAAGCTCTTTGACTTGTCTTACTGCTATGGTGATTTTAAGAGCTTCCTAATATCGATTATTTTTTGTCTTTTTATTGTAAAGTTTGAAATGCGATACAGTCGAACTGTATGTTATCTGGCTGCAGATCTGACAAAGTTAATAGTAATTTCGTTATTATTGGGCTATCTTCTTGATTTCAGCGTGCAATTGGCTGATTCTGATTCTTTTCCTCTAAATAAAGAAATGAGTTAGAACCTTTTTTATAGCCAGTTCAGTGGCAGTGTGCAGCAACATGTTAGGAAGGGGCAATGAATAGAAATCAAATATTGGTATTCCCTTTCTGTGGAGGATTTTTCGTTACTTTTTTCTTGAAACTTGCCCTCTCTACGTTAAAAAAAGAAAAAAAATGCACATACAAAACCCTGTACCCGCTCGCAAGAGGGAACGCCTATTAAACATGTGCGAGAGCGTGCATAGGCCCATTTCTCCTCATCCAGGCTGTTTAAAAGTTGCACAACTCATACAAGCTTACTGTCCCTGAATGTACGCCCTAAACCCTTAATCCCTCAATCACTATATAGAGCGGGGACTATATAGCAAACTCTGTTAACTGACAGTACAGACAGATGATCACTAATTTTGGCTCCTCGTTGGTCACGTAAGTCGTCCTCCAGTGCGTGATCCCTGATTAGTTGCCGCTGTTGGTTAGCGACAGCCTATGGGGACAGCTGGCCGCTGTGACAGCAAATCCCAGAATGCATTGGGAGGAGAGCTCTCTGCCCAAAGCATTACGGGATATATCCGCCTCTTCTAAGGCCTTTCTTTTCTTCTCATACACTTCGTGGACCCTTTTTCTTTTATGACCCTCAGCCATTTTTAAAGAACCGCGGTGAGAAAGGTGAGCTTCAATGACTGTCTGAAACCGTAGCTCACCACAGATATACGCCTGAAAGTGTTCATGCGCAGAAAAAGATAGCTAAAAGGACGAGCACGTAGGACGGCCTTACGTAAACATATAACCAGATTGATTGACAATTAGGAGGACCACTTATTTAGATGATCCACCCGGAAATAAAAGATTGTCTCTTATACCTTTTATGTCCTTTTATTGAAATAGTTATTTAAACGAGAAGGGGAGGATGAGGAAGAGGGTTATGTTCAAGTGTGGCTGGGTAAAAAGCTCTTCAAATTATTGTAGGTCGTTGCTACAATTACACTAGATACTAGGTACTCTTAATTTATTTAATTGGATTTATTAAAAAATTTATATTTGTTTATAAGAAAATAACAGTAGAATAATTTAAACCTAAATCTGAAGTCTATTTTGTATAGTAAATAGAGAAATGGTTGACTGTGTTGTGTGGTATTTTACAGTTAAAGGTTAGATTTAATTATTAATGAACCTGAGGAAGAGCTGCTTACTTATCTTTTAAAATGTATACCTTTTCTCCATTCAAGCAATAGAAACTACAGTGAGATAATAGCTGAGGGGTGATTATATATTTCCATCTCAGGGGGAAACTCTGAGATCCAGGACTGGAAATCTCCAGGCAGCAAGGTGAAACACGTCATACAGGTTTTCCTGCCGTTAGGGATGTAAACAACAAGCCTACCATGGGAAAACTCTGTGTGCTGCTTATGTCCTCTATGTGTGGGCAGCAGGGAGGTTCCCTCAATGTAATCTGAACTCAATTACTCAATACTTTACTAATAACCTACAATCAATAGACATGTTTTACTGCTCATCTGATTATGTTCTGTCGGCCCCAAAGGTTTGATCCATAAAGGAATGGAAACCACAGATCCTAATGGAATTTTATTACCGTAAGAAGGAAAAGATCTGGAAAATGGTCTCATCTACTCAGTTGTGACACTTTTAAAAATAAAACATCCTTCTATAGATTATTGGCTTTTAATTATTTGATTACTCTTCCTCAAGATTTACAACCAGGCTCTTGATTGTCAGAGTTCATTGTAACCTGATAATCATGCTGTGACATTTTATAATAAGTAAACATTAGTTATGTCTTATGATACACAGAGACATTTTAGCCCTCTGTTATCAAAAGTTGGTTAGAAGCCCAAAAGTGAAATAACCTTTAGAGAAATATAAATTAGACCAACATTGATCAGCTTTTCTGACATTGAGCAATAGGAGTACTCTTTAAGAACTTTAGAACAAAGAAATATATACAAATATGACTGGAGGAAAAAAAAAATGCTTTCCATGCTTATGAGGGATTCAAATAATTCAACAATAAGTAAGTTACCCCATTTAGTAACCACATTTTTTCTATGCTATAATACACCACTATGAAGGACCCGGAGAGCCTCGGGTTGCAGGCCCCTGATCCAAACCGTTGAGTTGTAGATCTGACTTTACGCTCAGTATTGTCAACCTGAAAGTGACCCTCATTAAATGGTTTATGTCTTTTTGATGCCTCTAATCATTTCCTACAGTATTACCCCACATTAAGTTCTATTTATCTTTTGTTAACCTCAACCAGCTTCACTTTTCCTGGTGGGAGAAAAAGCATCCTTGCTGCATGATGCTGCCATTACCATGTTTTAACATGGAGCTGATGTGTTCAGGATAGGGCTGCAACTAACGATTATTTTAAAAATCGATGAATCGGACGATTATTTTTTCGATTAATCGATGAATCGGACAAAAAATATTTTTTATATTAACCTCTTTATTCCAAAATAAACATTTTAGACAGAACAAACAAGCACACAAGTACAGGTTGCTCATTAACTGTACTGGTGCAATATGAAAAATAAATGTTTGTGTTAAAACTACGCAAACTTACATGAGAAATGTAGCTGTACATCCACAAAATATAGGGTACTTTGTTTCATAAAGCGCAAAAAAAGACATTTTTGTTTTTAAAAGCCCCTAAGGGGTTCAAACAATAGCCCCCCCATTTCAACAAATTAGTTTTTTTAGACTAGAAGAGTTCTGCCTTTTAAGACAGGAAAGTATAGCAGTTAAAGGTGGTACTTGAGAAAATACTGAACCATAGAGATAAAAATAGCCCTGTGATTCAAATTATAAATTGTATTTGGAATAAAAATGAGAGAACTAGGGGTGTTAAAAAACACATCCTCCAAAGACAGATATTTACATGGGAATGTGACATATAATTAATTGACATATTACTGATCTTGCTGGATTTTATTCTGCTTTACTTCCATAAATTGCTGGATCTTTACTTTATCTTTGCCAGAAGATTTAAACTTTAAAAGCTTTGCCCTCATAATTTGCAAGTTAATTTATTTATAAAGTAAATATAAACGCTGCTTAAGCTAATTCAAATGAAATTAAAAGTAAAATAAGTAGCCAACCTTATCACTGTCTGTAACCTACTAACAAGGTAAGGAAAGCATCAGATGAGCTACCTAAGAAACTAACGTTACGTTTCCCCACTTTAAAACCAAACAAACATGGTGGTTCCGTGCCATGTTAATTTCTTTTGAAAAATTTTTGCATTTTATCACTTTTTTCGCTTTACAAAGCGCAGGCTATTTTAATTATTGTGATCAATTTGCGCCGTCAATCCCGGTGCATGCGCGCTTCATTTGCAGTCTGGACGCTGAGGCTCTGACTGCAGCGCTGAGAGGGACATCTTATCATAATTAGGAAACGGGGACAGTAATGGTTTCATATATTTTTACATATTTATTAATATTTAAACAACAAAAATCGAGTGTAAAAGCCAGGAATGTGCCTTTCCAAACGTTTAGTGTGTCCTAAGATTAATAACATGAATAGTGTTATTAGTAGAAAACTAGAACTGTGTCTCTGGGTTGGGGCAAAGTGGTGGGGGTGGGAGCGGAGGGGTCAAGGGTCATTAGCAGGGCTTTCCAATTTTGTCGGGCCCAAAGAGCTCTGCCGCCTCCTAAGGGGAGAGTGACATGGGGAAAAGAAATTTAGAAAAGTAAATACAAACATTTATTCTATGCCTGTGACTGTCTGTTGAGACAGAGTTCCCCCACCTCTTCAAAAAAGTGCAACAAATACTTATTCTGTTTACATCTAATGTACATACCTATAAGAGATATTTTTTTTCTTCATTAACATAAAAAAAACAAGTAGTAGTCAAGCCTGCAGGTAAAGTTCATATATGTTCATTATGTTTCTTACTGTCACCTAGACACATCAGGGGCCTGTGTGTCTCAAAGTAGCAGGTTCATTTTTCCTACTAACCTGAGTATACAGCCACTCTTTGTTCCACAGCATACTTTGCACACTACATCACTCAATATGTTAGTTTATCACTCAAATCATGTCAACGCTTTATCACTTGAACTTTATTAATACATATTATGTATGAATATTATGTATGAAATGTTTGAAACAGAAATATTAACTGAACAGGGTCTGAGGCAGTGGCCCTGGTAATTTGGGTAAAATAATATAAGAGAAGACATACCAAGTAAAAAGCAAAATAACCTTTTTAAATATCTTAAACAAGTTTAACCATTGAACAGCAGAATATGCTTAACATCAACACAATGTATATAATCCAAGAATAGTCCATATTTATAAACAGCAATAACATATACATATATAATTTCCCAATGGAAATTCTGATTGTAATTTCTCCGTAAAATGACACTTCCTCTTCTTTGAAAGAGCCATCTGGTCATTCAGTCTTGTCTGTTTTCTTCCCTCTCCACCTTCGCTTTTGTTTCTAGCCCTCTTTTGACTTCTGCCTGCTCTCTGCTTTACTCCTCAAAGTAATTTTTTCTCCCTTCTTGTCAACCGTTTTTTCTATCAGAGTTCCTAGTTTCCTCCTCTCTCATTCAATCTCCTTTCTGTCTTTCTATCTTCTTCCTCACTCCTCCAGCATCAATCTTACATTATTCTAAAACAGAGACATTATATAATCAAAATCACCTCCAAAAAAAATTAGGATGTGCAACATGAAAACTTATTATTATTAATATCACATCTAAATACTAAAAATGCTAATTACCACAATATTAGGAGCTACAAGCAAAAACCACATAATAAATTAACATTAAACAGGTGGTTATCTCTTCCTCCATCATTCTCAGATCATGTAGATCTTGTCTTATTCAGTTCTCCTGTTACTGACTCCTATTTTTTCACAAGGAACTTTCATATATATCCAAACTGAGCAGTAAAAATGCACACCAAAAACTGGAAGTCTATGCTCATAAATCACAACCATAAATCATCAAAACAAATTGAAATAACTCTACTTATAATAACTATCTGAAATATAAACTAAAGGTCACCTATCCATTCTAAATCATCTTTATACAAACCCTCGTTGATCCCTGGAGAACCAGCGTACCAGATTAGCGCCTTACAAGGAGTTTTCAATCATTTTGCTACATTTTAACCCAGCGTCTTTTACTCATGCTCAACTCGTGGTCTTGTCTTACTTTTTATTATTGTTTTAACCTGGACACAAACCAAACATTTATCACAAGATCAGCCCGATCAGAATAAAGTTAATTGATTAACACACTTACCATCACTCAGCGTAGCTCCCCATCAGTTGCCACAGGTTGTAAAAAAACGAACTTCCACTTCTTCTTCTTCTTCTGTTTTAAAAGTGATGCGCTCTTCTTCTTTTTTGTGTTTTAATGGCAGCTGACATCCACAAGGATCATTACCTCCCTTCTAGTGGTGCGCTCTGTTCCTTATCTTTATGTTATCAGCAGCGCAACCAGCTACCGTAATACCTATTTTTGCGCGCAACAGCTCTACCGTAATAACAGTCTACACGCAACATTTTTCGCCTCGGTAAAATCGGGGACATTTCCGGGGACAGCTTTAGCCGGGGAAAGGTGGTCCAAAACGGGGACAGTCCCCGGAAATCGTGGACGTCTGGTCACCCTAGAGTAGGAACGATACATGCTTTCACGTAAGACTCTCTAAAAGCCGCCAGTGACACCGAAAAAAGTCGCCAGATTTGTCGCTAGTCGCTTTTTTGAAAAATAGTCGCTGGAGGGGTCTGAAAAGTCGCTGAGTTAGCAACACTGCACCTGCGGCGCTGACTCGCTCTGCCATATTTTTTTCTTCTTCCTCTTTCAGTCAAGAGGCAGTGATGACGGCGCGGCGGATGACGCAATAATCGCGCGACACAACTAATCGATGATGAAATTCGTTGCCAACGCTTTTAAAATTCGATTTTTATCGATTTTATTGATTCGTTCTTGCAGCCCTAGTTCAGGATTAGTCCACTCTCCTCACAGCTCTTAGCAGTTAGGCCTGAGAGATTAGATTTGTTTTTATCTCTTATTCCACATACATTGCACTTCGGTATCTGAATTAAATAGTGGCTGTTGTTTTTTTAAGATTACTAAACTTGAGCCAGAATGCTGTAGATTTGAAATGATGAAGTTGAAACTGATGACATGAAATAAGTTCCATATTTTTGTGTTTTTGTTTTTTTGTTTTTTGTTTTTTCTGCAGAAGTGAGCTTGTTCAGCTCAAATCAGATCTCCGACAAGGTGCTACTCCGAATCTTACGGCATAATGATGTCATCCAGGAGATCAAGTTTAATGAAAACGACAAGCGATCGCCTCATCACTACGTCTATCAAAGGGGCAAGGCTGTTGACTACTTCATTCTCATCCTGCAGGTAGGAAATATGTTAGGGGGGTTGAAGGGTAAGGAACAAAAAAAAATGACAGTGTCTAAAGCAGTCTGAATATAAAGATCCTCCTATTCTCAATTATGAATTCCAGATGTACACTTTATAAAAATGTGTCTGAATCATATAGAGCGCTTACTGAATCCTGTATACCATTGGTCTATTTATTTTACAGTCTGCTTAAGGAATTTACAGGTGATTCTTTGACACATTTTTATATTTTTGATACCGTGATTTTTTTGTGTGAGATACACAGCTTTTGACTGGCCTATTCTATGTTACCCTGAGGTCTGACTGGCAGGTACCAGTTCTCTCTGTGGAACCGTTCCGACTCTGTTTCAAGTTAGTTGACAGTAGGAGTAATTTTGAAGTAAAATTAGACTTTAAGGAACCAAAGTTTGTTCACGTTCATCGGTCAAAGCATCTGATGCTAACTTTGACCAGGCTATCCTCATAGAGTGGTCTGTCTTACAGGTTTCTGGAGAATCCTTTGACTGAAGACATTGTTGTTTATAAGTTTGCAGCGATCAGTTGTTTTAGTAATAGATAAATCTATCGATTATTTATTTTTGACTAATCTAAAAATAGATACTTTGCGTAAATTAACATCTCTGAATAAACTGAAATAGAAAATGTAAAAAAAAAAAAAAACCTTCATTGCACCTTTAAATCAATTGCAAATGGCAAAACAAAAAGAAAAATATATAAAATATTTAAAACTTTTTTTATATATAAAACTTTTTTTTAATATTTTTTATTTAAAAATGTTTATATTGTATATTTTTAGTCTTAATTACTGCTGGTGGTAGGTTATTGTTTCAGAAGACTGCCTGTCTTTGCCTTTAACCAAATTAGTTGAAGATTACTGAAGAAAAGACGATTATTCATGGTGATATGAAGAAAATCTAATATCACGATATATTTGGGCTATAATCTCGATACACTATATATATCAATATGTTACAGTGTAATCTGTCCCTTCTTGTATATGACTTCAGTTTCATCCCCAGTTAAGTCCGTTGTCTAGGTGAACACAGAGGTATTTAGTGAGCCACCAACTCCACTTCTTCTGCTATAATGTTAACTTGTGTAATCTACATTTAAATCTCTGTGCTCATATGGTCAGAAACCTGACTGAGAGTCAGCGAAGATTAGAATATGATGCTGTAGCCATGCTTCAGTAAAAAACATAATACTGCATTTTTGATATTCTTTCTGGGTCCCTATATGGACTTTGAGTTCCTCTAACTTGTTTCCTCAAGATTTCACATTTTCCATAATGATTGATGGAGGAGATGGCTTGATTTTCCTCCTCCTTTCTCTTCTCCTTGCTTCTGCTCTATATCCTCAACACCTCCTTTTAAACTCAGCTGAAACCTTTGGAAGTAACTGAAATATTATTTTAGCTTTGGAGATGAGCTGCTCCCAGGTTTGGAAAACTGTAGTTACTTAGGCCCCTGTCACACCTTGACGATTTTGCCAGCGTATGCCTGACGTACGAAAAATCTGGCATACATTGAATAAGTTATTGAATAAGCTATGTATATACCCAAATTTGAAAAAGTACATAGAAAATTCAGCATATGCCAGCGTTTTTTAAGGTTCTGGGACATCAGGCTTACTCTGGCTAAATCCTCAAGGTGTGACAGGGGCTTAAGTTTTTGCATCATAACAAATTTCTAAAAATGAAAGGATAGTGGCAAAAATCCTGTCAGCTGCACAGCAACCAAGAGCAAAAGTAAAAAACAAGACATTTAGATCCGCTAACAGAGAGACCAAAGCTTTCTTTCAAATAATATCACAGCTAGCATAGCTACTCCAATGTACAGCTACCTTAAGCAGCACAATTCTAGAAGTATCGGTCAATCAGCGATCATTGTTGATCAGTAGCAACTCCTTTATCTTATTAGCATAACGCCGCCAAGCTAAGCTTTAACAAATGATAATGATTTCAGTGAAACATTTAACTGTTTGTTTACATAAAAAAGAAGGTTTGAGTGATTGTTAAATAGATGTCATTAGTCAGATTTAGATCTTGCAATGCATTTGAAAAATATTAATATTGTTTACTTTTACAAGTAAAAGTAAAGAGATAAAAGAGAATATATATGTTTATGTAATGATGGATGGATGAACAGAAAGGTCGATAGGTGTATAGATGGATTAAAGATGATTATGTATTAAAGATGATTGTTAAAGATTGTGAAACTTTTAGATACCCAGTAAGTTTGAGGTTGGCTATCCATCTAGCTGGAAGGAAAAAAACCTTGTGTGTGGTGTTGTTCGCTCTGCTTTCCTCGAGTTTCATTTGGTGAGTTATTATTGCCAATTATCATATCTCAATCAGATTTTAGGTATAGCTGCTGTGCAGGTATTGTCTTTCTGTTACTTTACATACCTGCATTCGTTCAGCAAACTAACAAACATACCAGGCTTGACGTGAGAATCTCTTTCCCTGGTTATTTACACGCTGGGGACTGAACATAAATATCCACCACTGCTTTTGCTCTTCAGCTTGATCCAGTCTGTGCC